ATGAGACAGAAACCTTCAGTGAGAAAGTAGCATTTTAAGTCAGTGGGAAAGAGACACACAGTTTAATATAAAATGTACTGGAATTTATTTGGGGGTAAGATAGAGGTATATTTTAAAATACAGTTTGAGCCAAAGCAATCTTGAGAAACAAAAACAGAACTGGAGGAATCAGGCCCCATGACTTCAGACTATACTTCAAAGCTACAGTAATCAAAACAGTATGGTACTGGCACAAAAAACAGAAATGTAGATCAATGGAACAGGATAGAAAGCCCACGCATCTATGGTGAATTAATCTATGACAAAGGAGGCAAGACTATACAATGGAGAAAAGACAGTCTCTTCAATAAGTGGTGCTGGGAAAACTGGACAGCTACATGTAAAAGAATGAAATTAGAACATTCTCTAACACCATACACAAAAATAAACTCAAAGTGAGTTAAAGACCTAAATGTAATACCAGATACTATAAAACTCTTAGAGGAAAACATAGGCAGGACACTCTTTGACATAAATTGCAGCAAGATCTTTTTTGATCTGTCTCCTAGAGTAATAGAAATAAAAACAAAAATAAACAAATGGGACCTAATTAAACTCAAAAGCTTTTGCACAGCAAAGGAAACCATAAACAAAACACAAAGACAACCCACAGAATGGGAGAAAATATTTGCAAACGAAGCAACCGACAAGGGCTTTATCTCCAAAACACAAACAGCTCATGAAGCTCAATATCAAAAAAACAAACAACCCAATCAAAAAATGGGCAGAAGACCTAAACAGACATTTCTCCAAAAAAAAAAAAAAAACCACACGCTAATTATGAGAGAGATGCAAATCAAAACTACAATGAGGTAACACCTCACACAGGTCAGAATGGCCATCATCAAAAAGTCTACAAACAATAAATGCTGGAGAGGGTGTGGAGAAAAGGGAACCTTCCTACACTGTTGGTGGGAATGTAAACTGGTAGAGCCACTATGGAGAACATAGTTTAAAAAACTAAAAATAGACTTGCTATATGATCCAGCAATCCCACTACTGGGCATATATCGGGGAAAACCACGGTTCGGAAGGACACGTGCACCCCCGATGCTCATTGCAGCACTATTTACAGAAGCCAAGACATGGAAGCAACCTCAATGTCCATCGACAGAGGAATGGGTAAAGAACATGTGGTACATATATACAATGGAATATCACTCAGCCATTAAAAAAAAATGAAATAATGCCATTTGGAGCAACATGGATGGACCTGGAGATTATCATACTAAGTGAAGTAAGCAAGACAGGGAAAGACAAATATCATATGAGATCACTTATATGAGGAATCTTTAAAAAATGATACAAATGAATTTATTTACAAAACAGAAACAGACTCACAGACTGAAAACAAACTTATGGTTGCCAAAGGGGAAAGGCAATGGGGGGATAAACTGGAAGTTTAGGATTGACATGTACACACTACTATATATAAAATAGATAACCAACAAGGACCTACTATACAGCACAGGGAGCTCTACTCAATATTCTATAATAACATAAATGTGAAAAGAAGTTGGAAAAGAACAGATATATGTATAACCAAATCACTTTGCTGTACACCTGAAACTAATACAACATTGTAAATCAACTATAGTTCAATATAAACTAAAAGAAATTTTTTTAAGAGAATCAAACAAATAAATAAAAAATTAAAATACACTTTGAATGGATCAAAGATTCAGAAGTATAAGTGGAAAGCACAGTAGCAGTAGAAGAAAACACGGTATTTCTTTTTGTTTAATCTCAGAGTGGAGAAAAACTTCCTAAGCAAACCACAGATCTCAGAAGCTGGGAAATATGATGACATCAAATGCAAAATCTATGTACGGAAAAATAAAGGCAGACAAACTGGAAAAAACATTTACCACACGCGGCCAATGCCATTTTGCTTAATTCAAAAGAGCACTCTTGGAATTCCCTGGTGGCGCAGTGGTTAAGAATCCGCCTGCCAATGCAGGGGACACAGGTTCGAGCCCTGGTCCGGGAAGATCCCACATACCGCAGGGCAAATAAGCCCGTGCACCACAACTACTGAGCCTGCGCTCTAGAGCCCACGAGCCACAACTACACAGCCCGCGTGGCACAGCTACTGAAGCCCGCACCTCTAGAGCCCATGCTCCACAACAAGAGAAGCCACTGCAACGAAGAGTAGCCCTCGCTCGCCACAACTAGAGAAAGCCTGCGCATGCAGCAATGAAGACCCAACGTAGCCAAAAATAAAGAAATAAGATTTATTTTTTAAAAAAAGAGCACTTTTGCAAACCAATAACACCCACACCCTAGGAAACCAGATGAGGGATAGGACACACACCGTTCTTGAAAAATGAAGCTCTTCACTGTCATTCATAAGAGAAAAAAAAATTAGTTTTCAAGCGTCAGGTAAACAAAAACTAAATTTTAATATAGTATTGGTGAAAACATGGCAAACAGGCATTCCACGTCTCAAAAGTATAAATCTAGCTTGAAAGAGGTTCATTTGTTAATACCTAAATAAAAAAGCATGTACCTTTTGATCCAGCAATTCAGCTTCAAAGAGTTTATTCGCCAGACAAAACCACACCAAGATGTATATAAACGATATTCATTCCAATAACAATTAGCTACAAACAGACGGTTCCCCAGCCGGGGATGGCTGAACACCAGAAAGGATGGGGCATCCATCTCATGGGACATTACATAGACAATGAGAATAAATGGGTAGATACAGAGCAATTTCCACCCAAAAAAAGGTGAGGGACAGGCCAGAGTGTACAACACATTACCTCTTGGGAACAAAATGCTAGAGCAGAGTCAGGAGGAAGACTTAGCTTTCAAGTTACATCCTTTTATATTTTGACCTTTTTTGCTGTGTATGCATAAGCTAATTTTTTAATTAAAAAAAATATGGTGGGTCTTTCAACAGATGAATGGATAAATATGTGGTGTGCATATATATACATACATATGAATATGTGGTGTGCATATATATACATACATATGAATATGTGGTGTGTGTGTACATATATATATAATGGAATATTAGTCATAAAAAAAGAATGAAATTTTGCCATTTGCAGCAACATGGATGGACTTGGAGGACATTATGCTAAATGAAATAAGTCAGAGAAAGACAAATACTGTCTGATATCACTTATATGTGAAATCTAAAAAATACAACAAACTAGTGAATAAAACGAAAAAGAAGCAGACTCACAGATACAGAGACCAAGCTAGTGGTTACCAGTGGGGAGGGGCAATATGCGGGGGGGAATTATGGGATTATATAAGACCATGTGTGTGAAACCTTTTAAAATTGTAAAGCACTGGAGAATTTAAAGACTCTTTCATTCAATAAAAGAAAAAAATTTCCAGAACAAAATATGGTGGGGGAAAAAAGTAACAACAGCCATGCTGTGCCATGAACAGTGTTTTTTCACCCCTTCCTTCCAGCGCCTATCAGGGGCCCTTATGAGTCTTCACCTCCAGGGAGACCACTAGTCCTTACAACCTGAATTCTTATTCCCATTTTATCAAAGAACAAACTCATCACATGTTAAAACTAGCATCACGGGTTTCTCAGGCCCAGGAGGAGCGTGGTTCCTCGGGTCCTGCGGCCCCGGGCACGGCTGACACCAAACTGGTCTGTGTGCTCGGGACCACACGTGCTGGGGAATCACACGGCTGCCCCACACCCCCTGCGAGGGCCGAACACCCCAGGTGACCAAGCGCCTGGGCTGGGCGCCCAGCTTCCCTCATGGAGGTGTGCTGTCTTAGGAAACCGTCAGGCCCCCAGGTATGACCTGCACTCTTGTTAGAAGAGGCACAAGGCAGAAAACAGGCCGGCAGACACATCCATCCTCTCTGACAGCCACAGACAGAGGCGGTAGGAAGTGGTCTTCAACGGACCTTTTATTAGCGAGGCATTATTTCATTGCATTTTTCTAAAAAAATATTCTGTAACACACTGAAGACTCGGGGCCTAATTCTTCAGATTACGGTAAGGATATCTGAGGATCCTAATATCCTGCATCTGCTTCCCATCAATTAAGAAGTCACAAAATGTACCTGAGAAGCTATTAAAAACTGGCTTTTTATAAGGAAAATCAATCATGACCGAGCGTGCATGTCACTGTCTGAGCACTTCTCTTCCGAAGGCCCATGTGCAAGGCCTTCTGCTCAGGGCTCAGCGCAGAGTTTGACGAGCCTCCCGGTAGAGAATGCGGAGCCTGTAAAATGCAAACAGCTCGGTTTACTATGGCTTATAATTGGGGGCAACTCAATAACAAGGCAGCATTTCGTCAGATCTGCAGAAGGGCAATGGGTAGGCAAAGGGGAAAGCTCCACTGAGCGGGATTCTCAGTGTGTCCGGAGATTCTTCAGGCCGCCTCCGAGGGATGCAGGGACTGGAAGGGACAGGGCAGCTCTGCCTGAGGTCCAGCCCACCAACATCTTTGCTAGCACTTCAGGATCACTGTTCGTTTAAAGCAAGTCCATGCTGTCAAAGTACCCAACATCCCCTCGGGAAGCAGCACGGCGGTGGGGGTGATGCTGGGAGGTCAGGAGCCCGGGCCAGTCTACTTACCACTAATTCCCACGACAGGCCATACGTGTATTAACAGGAATCTTAGCCTCAGGGCCCCGAATGGCCCCACGTTTAAATTAGTAAGAGAACCACAACTTTGCTTCTCCGTAGACCTCCTGGTTTTCCCATTTGCTCATAGCACAGACTCACTTAACTCATCATTGACCGGGGGATTTTTGCAGAAACTAACGCCCGTGGACGGCGATTTGTTAGGTAAATGAATACTGAAATGTCTCCGGTCAATGATGTTTGGGTAACAAAAGACGTATTAATACGTCTCTGGTCAGTAATGTGTTAAAAACAGCTGAGAAAGGCAGATACTGAACCTTACTGAAGACCCGTATCACCGTTATCTTCAAAATCTCCAGCTGTTACCTCCGTTAGTACACTCTTGTGCTTTTTTTTTTTTTTCCCGAAATACAAAAATTCCATGTCAGAGGAAGCTGTTCCCCGAAGGGTTGAGATTCCCGTCGGAGCACCTCTGCCCTTTACCAGTAGACATGGGACATCGAGGCTTTTAACTGGGAGGCCTGTGCAGAGGCCAAGTGACGCTCAGTGAGTGGACCCGCCCTCTCCCCTCCAGCAAGAACTCAAATCCCCAACCACTGCTAATTCCAGTCGGCCTCAAACGTCTCAGCATCGTCTTTGGATTTCATCTGTACAAAATGAGCAAAGTCCAAGAATCAAGCTGGTAATTGGACATATTTCGGGGGAGACACACCCACCAATGGATATAGAGCATCAGAGGGACTGTACTCTGTTTCAATTAGGCACCTCCAGGACCACCTAGACGTGACCAGCACGCTCTGGATTAAAGTAAAACACAGTCTGCAGGCTGTGCTCCAGCTCCAGGAAGGCCCGTGCTGGGGGCTCCGCCTCACTGGTCCTCAGGCACCTCCCGGAGCCCTTCGCTGTGGCGAATCCGCCCACTGACTTCCAGCAGGGCCTGGGCCGTAGGGTCCACGTCCAGAACGCTCTTGGTGCTCTTGGCCTTGGGAAGAAGGGAAGGATGGGTGTGTTCAGTGACCAAAACCAGGCAGTGACGTCCTGCTGCTGTCAAGTTTATCAGAGGGGAATTTCCTACTGTCGCCACAAGGGAAATGTGGTAGAGGCTCTCCCCCGAGCCCCACTGAGTCCCCCCGCCCCGGGATGCCATCGTTGGGAGGTGACGAGACGCAGGGGCCCCAACGGCGACTCATCGTCAAACCCCGGAACTAGAAGGAACCCCAGACCCTCCTCATCTTGCAGACAAGTCCCCACCCCCCCGGGATCCCACCTCCCTGGGGTGGTTCTTTCTACTAAACTTCCACCCACTGGCATCCCTCTGGCCAGCAACGGCTGCTGGAAACAAATTGGAATAAACCATCTCCAGATGGAGGAGTAAAAGGGACAAAGCCGAGAAAGGGGAGAAACGCCCCCATGCTCACCAGCTGTGTCACCGAAGCATCTCCCACCGCCCACACCTCCATCTTCTCGAACTGGAAGTCCTCCTGGGCCGAGAGCTGAGGGCTGTTGTACGTGGTACATGTGGGCTTGGCCTTGCTGTGTCCTTTCCCGAAATCGACATCGATCCACAGGCCAAAATAATTGTGCTGCCCTCCCATGCCCTGCGGAGGGAGGGGCATAGCACCACCTCGGTCTGGAGCATCAGACACCTGAAGCCCACCCCAGCCGTCATGCCACCGGGGCGTATGAGAAGTGAACGCAATTTTCTTCCTTTCTTTTTTTTTTTTTTTTAACTGTGAAATACATATTCACAGATTGATACAATTTAAGTAACCCATGACAAGTTCCTAGAACACTCATCAAGGTGTCCTGACTCGTACCGTATGGCCCCTTCTCACGGGGCTGCACTGGCAGGAAACACAAGGGACAAGAGAGGACAAAAGAATACAGGCCCTCAGGCCTAGACACACCAATCGGTAAAATAAGGGGAGAGGTCTACACAGCACTTCCCGGACAGGGATGCCGATCCGTACCCGGCCCAGGACCCGGTGCTCAAGCAGGCAGGTCGTTCACTCAGCACAGCAGGGGGGGAAAGGAGGAGGCAGCCCCGGGAAGGCGGGAACCACTCGGCACACGGCCGGCTCTGAGCTAGTGGCTGATGGGAACAGACTGCTGTCCAACCTCTCTGATCCCTTTCCCTCTCCAACAGTGCCTCCCCCCCGGGCCCGGGGAGCCTGAAGCTAACGCCAGAGCAAGAGATCAGGGCAGGAAACGCAGCTAACCTCAGGGCTGCTTCTCCCCTCGAGCCGATTACTGACCACCACCGAGACCCACTGGGTGCCGCTCCTGAGGCCAAGGCCCTCGCCCCTGTCATCACCAAACTGTCCTATCTTTTTTTTTTTTTTTTTTTTTTTTTTTGCGGTACGCGGGCCTCTCACTGTTGTGGCCTCTCCCGCTGCGGACGCACAGGCTCAGCGGCCATGGCTCACGGGCCTAGCCACTCCGTGGCATGTGGGATCCTCCCGGACCGGGGCACGAACCCATGTCCCCTGCATCGGCAGGCGGACTCTCAACCACTGCGCCACCAGGGAAGCCCCAAACTGTCCTTTCTGAAAGGCGTCCGGGGTCATCAGGTGGCCCCGTGGGAGCCTCAGAATGAGCCTGGGAAGGAGCATGGGGCCCTCTCCACACCGACAAGATGGACCAGCCTCTCCGGCCCTTGGCTTTTCAGAGACACGGCTGGAATTTCCCGAGAGGGGCTTTTTAAGAAGCAGGGGAAAGAAATAGGCTGGTGCTGCCAGGACACACATTTCTCACACAAGCTAAGCATGTGTGCGGGCGCCCATCCCCACCACCGCCCCCGGCCTTCCCCCACGTCATCTTCTTCCTGTGGCGGAGTCCCAGCTGGAGCACAGAGCAGACAACCCCCCGTGGGTCCAAAGGGTCTGGGGAGCCCAGCCCCGGCCCCGCGCCCGGGTGGTGCCCCAGGCAGGGCAGCATCTCCAGCCACGAAGGCCACAGACCAACCACCTGATGGCCAGGAACACTGGGCGACTCCGTCATTTGCACACAAACCCCGGAAATGCCCCAATAGAGGCCCCTTTTTTCCACGAGAGAAATTCTGTCCTCGTTGTCGCTCATCGCATCACCACCCTGAGACTCAGACAGAACGAACTGAGCGCGTACAGCTGCCCTGACGCAGGGCGGAGTGTCCCCGGGCACGTCGGGGTCAGTGCATCACCACGGGGTGGGGGGACGTGCCCTGCCCTCCCAAGTCCTTACCAGTCCATTCGGGATGGTCTGCTGCCCTTGATTCAGGTACATGTAGTGGTCATTGTAGCCCGTGGAGGTGTACACGGCCATGCTGGGGGAGATGGAGAACAGGAAGCACCTGTCATCCCCTGAAATCGATCAGAGCAAAAAGAAGCAAGGTCAGCCATAGGCACTGGGCATGGGGAAAAGCAGGAAATGGAAACGGGCCGTGGCTCAGATGGCTGAGCAGGAAGGGCTCCCCTCGGGTCCTCGGCGTGCGCGGGGCTCCTGTGCATTGGGGGCAGGGCCGGCCCGCCAGCGGGCGGAGCCCGGGACCGTAGGATGAGCTGCAGGTGCAGGCTGAGAGTGACCGTTACAAAGGAATGTGACATCTCCTTGCTGGGAACACCCGTTAGCGCTCTCCTGGGGAGATGGGAGCCCTGCCCCACCGCCCCAGAGTCAGCAAGAGCAGCCTCGTCTCAACTAAGGAGCAAGGGGCAGGCGGCCACTCCACGTATTGGCTGGGCACTCACGTGGCCTCAAGCAGGCACATCACCCAGAGCGGAGAAGGCAGGGTACCTGTAGACACAGCTGCCCACAGGGAGGGGCGGGGACACGCAGGGAAAGGGGACCCTCTACCTTTGCCCGGGCACAGGAGTGGGCATGCCACCACTCAGAGAAGGTACCGGTCAAAATCCTGGAAATGAACAGCACCCTCCACCTCAGAGACTCCTGCCCTCCCCGATGCACTCACTAGGGAGGGGACGGAGGCTGCACCTCACCAAGGGAACTCCCGGCTAGGCCAGAGCCAGACCAGAGATGCTCCCCACAGCTGTGAGACCTTGGCCGGAAGGACCGCCCCTTGACGGTGACAGCGTGAGGGCACCTGACACAGGACCGAGCTCAGGTACTTGGGGGTCGGGCCATTCGTCAGGTGGGAAGGAAGCTCCAGGAAGCTCCAGGGAGCCCGAATGTGGAGGGCGGACAGGAAGGGGGCTTTGAGCCCCAGAGGGGCCTTGGGGAGGACAGCCCTCGGCCACAGATGGGCCTGGACCTGCCGAGTCAGGACAAGTGACGCTCCGGCCTCTGTGGGGACTTAGCTCCCCCAAAGTCGGGAAGGACGTCCTGAGGTGGAGACGGTTGGGTGAGAGCCACTCAGGGAGGAGGGACCCCGCAGGGACACGGCACGGCATGGGGGAAATAGCAGGGCCCTCGGCTATAGTGCAGGGTGTGAGCCCTGGTTGGGGAAAGGGGGAGGTGAGCCCGGGGAGGTCACCGGGACCAGGTGGCACAGGGCTCCCCTCCAGGCTAAAGACCCCGGCTTGAGTCCATGTGCCTCAGAAGGTTGGGTTTAGCCTCAAGGAATTGCCCGGTCCCACCTGTGGCCCCGGGCACTGGGCCTAAGCATCACTTTGCCTTGCCATCCTAAGGCTGCCTTTCAACCAACATTTACTGGGTCCCGGATGCTAAGTGAGGTGATGGGGCCACAAAGCGTGGGCCCCTTGGCTACAATGGACCCCACTCTAGTCCATCCTGAGGTCTGTGCCCAGAGAGAAGGGCCCCGTGGGGAAGATGACCCTCGAGGGTGCAGGGCAAGGACCAAGGAGTCATAAGACCCGTAAAAACATCACTTCCACAGAGGGGCTCCTCACCCAACTCTCACAGCGACACCACCACCCATCGCCCAGTGCGTTACAAGCTGCCATTCCTGTGCTTCTGGGGAACGGAGGCCCAGAGAGGGTAAGCAACTTGCCCAGGACAGAGCCGGACTCAGCTCAGAGCTGCGGGCCTGTAGCTGCCCCATGGACGACAGAGGCGAAAATGAAGTGACCCAGCGGCTGTCACCATCTCAAGGCTCAAATACTCGGAGTGATTGTTTCCCGGGACAAATGGACAGGAATGCCCTGAACTCGACTGGAATCTGTGATGCTAGGCTGCCCCCTGCTGGAATTCTGTCCTCACGCTTCAGAACAGAATGAGCTCAAGTTTGAAAACTTGGTCATCTCATTTTTCCACCTTTCTTCAAGAAGATGAATTCTGCTTGTTAATAAAACATGAAGACGCAGCAGTGCTGACCTGGAGTTAATACTAAAAGAGCTGGAAGAAGCGGAAGTTCCATCTATGATAATGATTCTCAGGGTTTTTCCACATCCTCCAACCACACAGAGACCCAGCCCGTCACCCCCCCCAGAGCCCCTCCCCGTGACACCGTGACAGAGAGACCTGGGTGTGTGGAAGCCCAGGCTCCAGACTGGGGTCCCCAGAAGGGCCGCCTTCCAGGGTCAGCCCTTGGCTGGCGTCTGGGAAGGTGGATTTGGGGAGGGTCCCCCCCTTCCAGGACTGATGAGCGGCTCTCTGTGCCTAAGCCGTGTGAACAGACGGCGGGGGGGGGGGGGGGGGGTGGCAGTGCGGGACTCCTGCTGTCCTCCTGCGAGTCTGGGGTTTGCGTGCGCGTCAGTCAGAGGGTGCTCGTGTGAGCGGCCCCCCGAATAAAGATCCTGCGCGCTGAAGCTCTAACGCATCCCTGATGGACGACACTGCACACGTGCTGTCACAGCTCGCGGCTGGGGGAATTTAGCGCGTCCTGTGCGACCCCACTAGAGAGGATGCTGGAGGCTGGTTCCCCCGGACTTCATCCCCCCAACCCCTACCCAGCCTCTGAGCTGATCGTGCTCTGCACCCTCTCACTGTAATAGATCAGCTGTGATGACAGCTGTGTGCTGCGTCCCCGAGTCCTCCTAGCGACTCACTGATATGTGGGTGGTCTTAAGGGACCCTGACGCAGTGGGGAAGGGCTGGTAGCAACAGCTGGATTAAAGATCTAGAACAATCTAAAACCTAGAGAAAACCAAACCCTGGAAACAACAGGATCTCAGGGATGAAGGCACCCAGCCTTCACACCATGATCCCTTCCACCCACCCCAGACAAGGGCCACCCCACCACTGCTAAAACCTCTCCCGTAATGGCACCTCTGCACCTGGACACGGCTCCCCAACCAGCAGAAGCTTCCCTGGTGCAAGGAAGGTGGGAACAATTCCAGAAGCGTGCAGTCCCGTAGAGGACCGCAGGGACTAACTGGCACTCGTGTGGTCAGGAAGGCTTCCTGAAGGAGGTGACCCTGGACTGAGTCCCGACAAGGAGCTGACTGTGTAAATAGGTGGAAGAGGGAGAAAAGGCAGCATGTGCCAAGTCCTGAGATGAGACTGCGGCCTGTTCTGGAAACTTTGGGTAATTCAGTGAGACTGAGCCCAGGGCAGAGGGCACAGTAGAGGTCGTGAGGCTGGAGATAAAGGATTCACCATTCTGAGTGCACTGGGGGTCCGTCCAAGGGTCTCCAGGGGACAAGCACCACGGCAGGTGGGCTGGGATGTGGCAAATGAACTGGACGGGTGAGACCAGGAGGCGAGGGCCAGGCAGAAGGCACCCGCAGCAATGCAGGTGAGAGTGGGGGGGAGAGAAGGGGGAGCGAGGACGCAGGCAGAGTGGATGCAGCTGACAGCTGTCTGGCTACGATGTGCAGCCCCCATCCCAGAGGAGCACGTGGCCTTTCTCCCCCGTATTTCGCATCTCAGGACCCTGGGTTCTCCCTTCCATTGACCCAGCCAGGGAGGGTGTTAGCCTCGCCCCCTCACTGGGAGGGACTCTCCCTGGAACTGCGTCGGCCAGGCTGCCCCATTTAGCTGAGGGGAGTGAGGACAGGCCTGTATCTGGCTGCTCAGAGCCACTAGGAAAAGGCCTCCATCTCACAGCTGTTGGCCCCCAGGAGACCTTCTGAGAACAGAGACTCGGGCAGCCCGGGGCAGGTCCCAGGGGACACACCGTGACATCAATCCTGGGAAGACAGGTTCACCTCTGAGTACAAGAACAGCCCACTGACAGGAGATGAGCATTTTCAAAGGGTCCTTTAAGAGCGTTTATCAGAGTAGTTCTTTGAGGAGGGGAAGTATTTCATCAGGGCCTTTGATCCAGGGCATTCAAGGTCTAGCAAAGAGCTTCCAATCTCCAGCAAAATCACAAAACCGAAAAACTACGGGCAGAAGCAGCAAAGCAGACCCACACAGGGGGTTCCAGGAAAGGAAGACGGTCCTCCGACAAAACACACCCCACCTGCAAGAGCCGGCATCTCCCAGTCCCCTACGCAGCACCTACGGCCCAGCCTCGCCGGAGGTCAGGACCTGGCGTCGTTTAATGCTGATCCGCTGTTTCCTCACCTGAAAGCCAGGGGTGAGGACAGCTGTCCTGCTTACCTGACCCTGCAGCCAGAATCTATAAAGGAATCCATGAAGTTAAACCATCATAAAGAAACACCACGTTTCACTACCCTCCCAAACACGTCTAGCAAAACGCTTGCGGGAGGAGATGGAAGAAACATGCACGTCCCCTGGCGGGGCTCGGAGGTCTCCACACAGCAGCCGTCTGACCAGAACTTGTAACGAGCGCTGGTGCTACCATGTGGGGCTTTGGTGGCCAAGACTCACCTTGAAACTGAGGTTTGACCTCCCAGGAGCAGGAAGCAAAGCCACCGAACACATGGCCGTCATGGTCCTCGAGCAGCACCACGCAGGGCCCACAGTGTGTGATGCGCCCGCAGAGCTGGGCGAAGCTGTGCCCGTGGAGCTCGGATGAGAACAGCAGGCGCCAGTGCTGCCGCTGCTCCCTGGGCAGGTGGGAGTTGATGTAGATGACGGACAGGACATCCAGGACGCTCGCAAACTTCCGTTCCTGGTCGACTTGGCGCTCGGGGACCAGGGCGGCCAGATCGAGGGACGAGCACAGGAGGAGGAAGCCTTGGTGGATGACCACGCTCAGAAACGTGGCCACGTGGGGGGCCCTGAACACCCAGTCCTCAATTGTGGTTCGGTCACATTCCAGCCGCTGAGGCCCCAGAAGCTTCTCACCGCCTAGGGGAGGAGAAAACAGTATTAGTGGGTGAGGACATTGCCTTTTCTCTACTTACCTAAACCTGCTCTGTCCAGCGGGGGAGCCACGCGTGGTTCGTCTGCACCGAGATGCACAGTAAGTGTAAAATGCACACCCCATTTCAAAGGCTTGGCGTGAAAAAGAAAAAGAACGTAAAATACCTCATTTTTTTTACATTGATTGCCAATGTTACAGTATACTTTGGACATATTCTTAAAATTAATTTTG